CATCTTGTTGATTGTAAATAATTTTTCTTGTCATAATAGTATCTTCTGTCAGCGGTGCTGCAGAGCCATTACACTTCTTGTCCAGGCTCTCTATTCAGACACTAAGAGGAGAAAATACAATTACCCAAATACACGGCATGCAGAGAAAAATACAGACAACTGTGACACATGCACAAACATTAATGCATACTCTGCATTGCATGATATAATTATCTGCATAAAATTATAAAAATGTTAATTAGGCAAAGCAGAATTAATAGGGAAATTATGATTTCTTTGGAAGTTCTCGTATCAAACATAATCATGTTAAATGTGATACTGGTATTGTTCTGCTCTGATGGGCAAAGCAATAAAATCATTTTGATAATTATAATGAAAAAATTCCCTCATTAACCATAAAAAGCTGATGAGTAATTCACAATAAATGTATCTGTTCTGCATTTCAGTCAGCTCTTAGGCTACACAGCAAAGGTTCACTGTAAGGCCAAAAAAAAAAGGAGGGAAAGGAAAAACATATGCCCTGCTGGTAAATGACCAACTAGATTTCTAAAGCAGGATAAATGGTACAGTGATATCCATTGCAATATATCTAGCTGACCTCTGTCCACGAAGACAGGCAACACAAAACCTTTTTCAAAAAGGTAGTGTTACCATACAGAGAGCTAAGGTCAGTGCACTCCAGCTGCTAACATTAGCAACCAAACTTTGAAGCATGGCTCTTGTGGCAGATTTAATTCAAACTCCAGCAGCAGTCGCTCTCATAAGGCTTTTCACTCATTACTGAGCAATCACATTTTTCAGTTACATTTCAGTTTTTATTATATTGTGGCACATAAAAGTAAATGCAACTTAACGTGCTGGTGTGGTACGAGGCATTTATGTCAGGCAACGCTGGTAACAGAGAGAATCAAGTTAGTGATTCGAAAAGAAACTACAGTTTAGAATCACTACAAACCTTTACTTGGTTTACTTCAAATTCAATCCAAAACTGAAAACAACTCTTAAACTTCAAATTACAAAGCACCCAGAGGAGTTTTCCTGTAAACTAACTATTGTTTGGCCACCGATGTGGCCACCATGGTACACATCAATAAATATTTTCTATATTAACAGAATTCTGTCTTTGAAACATGCGAAAAGTTCTTCTTTAACATTATTAGCTCAGTCATTAAGTCTCCAAGTGCTGTCAGATGTACTCAGTTGACACTTATTTGACACTTTCTGACTTATTTGAAAGTCAAACTATGACAAAAAACATTAGTTGTCGTGCTGACACCTCTAACGCAATTACCATTCACGTCATTAGCACAGTGAAACAAAATGCTGATGTAAAGAAGACACTGTCAGCCACAATCCTGTCCTGTTAACACTTTGTCCGTTGTAATGATTCACAAGAGCTGACTCACATCAACAAGCAAGAAGTGATAAAGTCAACCAGATGAATGAAGACGGCAAGTGTGTCCGAACAGAAAAAACAATATCTATGAAGTTTCAATGATTAAATACCCAGTGTGGCACGTTGGAAAGTCTAGACATCATACTCTCTAGAGAGAGGCACCTACGCAATTACCACTGTCGTTCAGTGGTTGTAAGGACGCGTGACAAAACTGGGCATTTTTGCATATTTAACCAAACACGGTGACATTCACACCAATTGGAGCAAACTTATACAGACACAGCAGCAAACTAAAAAGAAAAAAAAAAACAAACACACAAAAAGGAAAAACACCATGAAGCGCTGCTACTGTGCAAAAATGACCATGACCTTCAATCAGTTACTTTCCTCGTCTGGTGTTCCCATCAACTTTCTGCGACTGCACAATGGATCTGTTTTCTGACAATAAATGTGTATGTGATACTCGACCCAAAAAAATAAAAAATACAACAACACCGAAAATGTCTGCAGCTTACAGAGATTTCTCCCACTACGGAGCCACATTTCATCAGCCAGTTTCATCCGTGTTTTTCTATATGTACATACAGTAAGTCAGCACTGACATTTGTTAAGAGAGAGATAAAGGTAAAGAATGCCTGTCATAGAAAAATCTCAGCGCATTTCCCATCAGCAGATTTGTTTGAGGCAGGTGAACAACATACAGACTGTACAGCTGGAAAAGCAATTATCATGTAGGAAGGTACATTTCACCATATAATAGTGTTTAAAAAATAAAAAATAAATCAAGTAACAAACATCCAGAGGTAAAAAGAAAATGAAATGCGGCACTGCATGCTGAATAATAAACATGAACAAAAGAAATCCTCTGGGTTATGTTTAGGTCAAAGAGAAGTAGGCGCAGAGCTGAGAACTCAGACTGCGAGCACAGAAACAGCACTTCACTCTGGAGATGAAGACAACACATCATAATGGGCCTAATGCTTACAGATGAAGTCACTTGTCAAGTAGGGAGCAGTCAGCCTCGGAAATATTGCTGTTACAGTAACTTCCACACAAACTGTTCAGTCTCACTGTCATGCGCCGCAGTGGCACAAGCTGCATAAAATAGTGAGCCAAGAAAATCATATGTGTTCCTTCAGCCATACATAACACACAAGAGAGACTTTATTTTTGTGAGCGGTGCCAATACAACACCTTTCACAACAACTCAGGCAGTCACTCAAACGGGCTGAATTAGTTCGATGGTAAAGGCATCTGGAGTGAAGAAATAACACAGAATATAAAAAAAAAAACCACATTGCTGGCTGCCAGAAATAAAATACACAATCTCTACAAAAACCTGCACAGTACCTGTACTAACCACAGACTGAAGCTCTCTCATGACGCCCCGAAGTCCTCAATAGGATTGAAAACCATAATAAGAAGTTCAGGACTGTTTTGAAAGATTGCATTTAACACTGTGTGAGACCGATAAAAACCACTGAACATACAACAACAGTGATAAAGATTCTAACTTTTGTAATCCCAGTATAGTACACTGCTGGAAAACCTGCCAAATAAACAAGGGTTGTGCCAAGATCAAAGATGCAAAATATAAAAAAAATAAATAAAAAAAACGGCAAGTGCAAGCCTGATGGGTTGTCTTGGTTGATAATGGTAGAATAGTTTTACGAAATGTTAATTCAACTTAGCATTAATTTTAGTATCATAATTATGGTTTTGGGAGTCGTAGCTTTGATGCAGGATAACCACTGCTGTGACACTCACACAGTGTCTTTCAAAACAACTCAGCCAGCTACTGTAACAGGTGTAATTAGTCATCTGGAGAGAAGAAACAAAAAACAATAAAGATTTTGCTTGCCGCCAGAAATTTATCTGCGCAATTGCTTCCACATTTTGGCCTTAATTTCTGCAATATCTGATGCTGTACCTGTACTAACCCAAGGACTAAAACTCTCTTCAGACACCCTTAGTCCTCCATAGCATTGAACACCATAGGACTGTTGGGACACATTACATTTGAAACTGAACCGAGACAAATAAAACTACCAAGCATACGACAAGAGCGTCAGACCTTCAAACACTTAGCTTGTATTCCCCTCAGAATCCACTAGTTTAAAAAATGATTACAAGGTAGACGGCAGCAGACAAAGATGTAAACATCACTCTGAAAAAGGCAAACACAAGCCTGATGGGCTATCTTGGTTGCTGTTGGTGAAGTTTGTACTGAAGGTTTATTCAACTTAGTATTGTTTCTAGTATCATAACTGTGGCAGTCGTAGCTCTGATGCATATTAGTCACTGCTTGTCCGGTTGTTGGAAAGCCCTCTTGTAAAGTTTCAAACCCCCAAAAAACATCTCATCCAGTTGCTGAAACTACTCAAATTAGTAAATGGTAGAGTCATCAGGAGAGATGAAAAAAACATATGACATGAAAGAAATTTTGCTAGCTGCCAGACAATTAGTGATACAATTGCTGCCACATGTTGGTATGTGGTACCTGTACCAACCAACTACTGAAACTCTCTTATGACACCCTTAGTCATCAATAGCACTGACAATACCAAACTGAAACAGATTCAACATTCAAATACTAAGTTTAGAATCCCTTTGTAGTCTACGAGTTTTAAAAAAAATTGCAAAAAGGTAGGTGTAGCCGGTAGCTCAAAGAGCAAACAAAGGTGTAAAAGTCACTATAAAACAGTCCAGCAAAAGTCTGATGGGTTATCTTAGAGTGTAGTACTTAAGGTGTATTCAGCTTAGTATGGTCTCTAGTATAATAATTATGGCTGTGATGCAGAGTAACATCTCTTCTAACAGCTCTTCTGGTTGGCAGTAGCCCTTCTTGTAAAGTCTCAACAGCAATACGTAGAGGGGAGGTTAGAGGCCAGAATGTAAAACACTCAAACTATCTGAGCAATCATTGCAGCGTAAAACAGCACATGAGGCTTAAGTCAAACAAGCATTACTTACTGGCTTCTGACAGGCAAATGAAGATGGTGGACAGCTGATTGATTATTCACCTGGCAAATATATTTTTCAACTTACAGACAGGTTGTCACTTTGAATGAGTGATTTCAGATGCCTCCACTTTTTGTCTGTTGAGTTGGGAGAGGATGGCAGGACATGGTGGAGGTGAGTTTCACTGTATTAATGAAACACCTTCCTTATTTCAAGCTATGCTTTTTTTTTTTTTCGCCCTCACGTGGTGTCAAATGCAGCAAACTAACGCCTGCCAATCCTGCAGCTAGCTGGAAAATTATCTCTAGGCATCCAACTGAAATGCTTTCGAAATGGAAATCTGACATGCTTTCCAACACTTCATGTCATAACAGTGGCGCATTAAATGCAATGCAGTAACAAGTGGGATTTTTCATATTGTCACACTTATATCATTATCAGACTTTTCCCCCATAACAGGCTGCATGGTCCATTTTATGGGAGCCATTCAGATTTGAATTACCTTCCAGCAGCATTTCCCAGTAATCAGAAAACCAAAGTGTGCGCCAGAATAACAGCAGAAGAAAAAAAGATTTTGTAATGGAGCACAACGTGGCATATTTTGAAAAATGCTGTTTGGTTTGAACACAGTAAGTGTACTCACATTGATCGATGTTCCCGTCTGCTTTCCCCTTCTCCTGCAAACAGAGAACACACACAAAAGTGGTTATTACAGGCTTGGAGGAGTGAGACAAAAACAGCCCTACTGCAGCTTTTCTCAGACCATTCGTTACCGTGCCTTTTCCTCTTTTCTGGGCTAAGAGAATGACGACGGCAGAAAACAAAGGCGAACAGACGGAAAGACAATGAGAAGAAAAGAGTCAGAGAGAGAATGTCTTGTGGATGACAGCAGAGAAACGAGAGGACTCCTACAAAGCCAGGAACACAGTCAATTCAGTCACCCTAATTATAAATACACTTGCCAACAAGCTGCAGGATGGCAGGTTTAACCATATTATACTAGGACGTTTATCCGGATGTCAAACAGCTGATATCAATAGGAAGAGCTGATTCATTTGTCAGTCCTAAGCGTGAGTATGATACTGACATGCAGCTTCAAATCAATGTCATTCATGGCTTTCCAATAACTCTAAATATTAAAGACCTCCCAGTTGAAAATCTGTTTTTTCACCTTGTTAACATGTCCATATGGTGTTTTGTTTTGTTTTTTTTTTTTTTATGCTGGAAGACACATAATGAGCTAAATAAGCAGTCTAAGCCACGTCTGAGCATTTCTACCCTAAAACTGCAGCATGCCAATGACAAAAAAACACAATTTCAGACCTACAGGGTTTCACAGACAACAAACCGAAGGAACTAATATTATCAAATTACAAGGAGGGGCTTTTCATATCCTTCTGCTTCTTCAGAACTGGTTCGAACATGTGTGGCTGACTTACTACAATATTACTGTGCTACTGTGTTGTTTTACAGTGTATAAGCAGAGCTGTAAAAAAAAAAAAAACAATACAGAGTTACATCTAAGCCATTTCAGGCATGAGGGAGTGAGTTTCATGGGGAAAAAAACTTCTGAATAAGTAACTTTGATACACAGAGATGAGCTTTTTGGGTTAAATCAATGACCTGACAGGGACCTTTACTAGTGCTTGGATTTTGAGATGGAGGACAATCATGTTTAGCTGCAGGGTACATAAAAATCAACATTTAAAGTTAAACAAAACACAAAGTGTGGAGGATGTTGGAAGAGAAGATAACTGTCCTGAGGCATCACTGAGCAATGTCAGGGGCAGTAAAGAAAATGTACAAAAATATTGTGGCAATGACATTGTGTGGCAGACAACATGAGTGAAGATAGAACATTTAAAAGCAATAAATGAAATGGGTAACTATTAACATTCGAGCTGCGTGATATGTTGTTTTAGCGCTGACATTGCCATGTGCGCATACATAATAATCATGCAAATTAACAATTGTGCTACAACTGCTTTTACGGTTTGTTACAAAGAGAAAATTCATCAAGTTTCAATTTCTATGATGAATCTACAAGAGAAATCTGTCTGATATAACATAATTTACATAATTAAAGGCGCCTTGGATACACTGTTTTGGTGTTTCGCTTTATTTACAACACGCAGAGTTTGTTGACTTGCAGTCACCACGAGTGAGGAACAAACAGAAACACAAAAAATGTGCCTTGATTGCAAAAAGAACATCAGTGTACTGTAATATTTTAAATGCAGAATGGATGATGTTGACCAAAAACAGGTACTCTGACAGCAGTGTTTTGCAATTTCTACCACTCCATGACGCAAGATGACTAATTTGTTTGATCACTTAAATCCCCACATCAAGCCCTGTATGATGAGAGCAGAAAAACTATTTTGGATACCTTTGCCACTGTCACATAATTTGAGCAGAGAGAAATTACTGCTGGGATAACTTTGCACCCCACAAAACACATGATAGCAATTAACGCTGTTACAAAACAGTGTTTTAAAACATGATTAAATCACTCGAGACGTGGAATGTAAAAGCATCATGCACCTATTTTGAACTGTATGAAAAATATAAGGCACAAGCTAAAAACAGAGCTGCCAAAAGTGGAACATTCCACAGCTATAACAGACTTGTGGTCCAGATGAACAACATAGTCTTGCATAAGTCCCACTATCCACTTCATTACTGAAATCACCAAAGGACTTCCAACTGAAAAGTCAGTTTACAAACAGCATTTTTCCCAGATGATCATCAAGTGAGAACATCTCAACGGGAATGAGAGAAGTGTTGGCTGCTTGGGGCCCGAGATGAGAGACGTCAAGTCTGTAGAACAACAGAAAATGCAGTAAACATGGTGGAGGCTGCTGCGCTGAACAAGTGCATCGTGCAGTTGTTAAGTTATAGCCATGTTATATTTAGTGTTTTTTTCATGTCGCATTATATATTGCAGAAAAGCTAAATATTAATGACATTTCTTTTCCCGACATTGTGCAGCCCTAATTAACACTGACATGAATGGGAACCATCTGGTTGGTGAAATGATTGAACTTAGACTCGCTGAAAATCTTTTGCTGTTGCTTTTCAGAGCAAACCAGCCGACCTTGATGTGTACATTATAACCACGTTTTTATGCACAAGTTATCAGCGTTTCGGTGTCTGATCCTTTGTGCTTGTAACAGCACAAGGGCTGCTGCTTAATGTATCTCAACTCAAGATGCAATTTAACATACGCAGGGAAAACGGAGGATCGACATGCTGTTTAAAAATAGAACAGAGGCAGGTCTTCCAATGCAACACCACTTCTGAAGAAGCCAATATGTGGCAGCAATTGAAGTGTTGTGACATTTTGCATTCTTGTCCCTCAGTGTGGATGTCACCAGTAATGAGGCTCAGTGATAAAACATGTGTGCGTCTGCAAGGCCCTCTTGGCTTCCCAGGAGACTGAGAGCCTCGTGAGAAACACAGCAGTTTTAGTGCCTCCTGTCACTGCCTCCGTCTTTGCCTCTACATCTCTATCCCTCTCTCTTCCCTCGCTCTGCCATCTGTCCATCTTAATTGCAGACGTGCTTCCTCATGATGGCAGGATAAAATTGAGTGTGCTCATCAGCACCATCTTCCATCATCTCGACTGCCGCTGTTTGATCAATTGATTAGAGAATCAAACCAAGCATAGAGGTGAAAGAAAGGCTACGTGCTTCTTTCTAAAAACATTGTCCGCTCTTTACCATCTCACTGACTCACCAGGGTGCTTTTGGTTGCTATACGTTCAGCTTTAGGGGACTTTTGTGGCGTAAAATATCAGTTGAACAAGACCTGATGATGCAAAGTAGATGCCGACCATCACACATAGTTTATTAAAAGGCTCTTTGTACTTTTCTCTTAAGTACTGCTGTATCGCGCTCAGTGGGTGGAGTCTTGTAAATAATTACCGGCAGAATTTCATTTCAGCAAATAGGGCAAACCCACGGGGTTTTAATTAGGCACGATCTGATGCTTTTCTCTACCATATTTCCTCTTTGTGATAAAGGCTGATTAGATGGGTGTATTCTTAGATACAACGCTTGTAGATACGTGATAAGATTATGACAACACTGAGGTACACGCACAATAGAGAAGAGAGACGATTCAATACCTTTGAGCCTCTTGAGCCTAAAGCTGCTCGCTTGGCTTGTGCTCCTGTTACCTGTTATTACGCTATTACTACATGTCTAAGGCATGTTATACCGCATTATTTAAGACATACAAACAATATTGTCCCACATAAGGCAATATAATTCTTCAAAACAGACTTCAGACTCGATATTTACACGTTAACAAGATCAGATATCCTTTCTGAACGGAGAGAGTACCAGTCTAACATAGTCTTTTTCAGAGTGTTGAATTACAGGTTGTTTGCAGCCATGTTTCTAGGCGAGCGTTTTCAAGTTCTTTTGCAGTGTGTTCCTTAGAGATACCACAGCCCTGAAAGTGTTTGGTTAGCCCCATTTAACCTGCAAGAGTTTTTGAAAGCAATGTGGCATGTTTCGCTGCCGTGGAGGAAACAAATTCAGTGTCTTTACAGCAGAAATAAACCGGGGGAGAAATTCAGTCAAACAGCCAAGAATTACAGCTGTCACAGATGATGAACTCAAGAAGACAGTCTGGAAATTGCTGAACATCAGGGAAAATGATTTAGACCGCTACCAAGATCCTGGCAGGAGACAGTGTGAGTGTATCACTGATAAGATAAACCAGACAAATGTGGGATTTATCTATTACCATATTTTATGTTTTACAAGAGAAAAGGTTGAAAAGCTGAGGGCTGGGTTAACGTAATCTTATTGAAATCAACTGACATTTAACTAAAGCGGCAACCAATGATTATTTCTATTGTCGAACAATCTGTGGATTGTTTTGCTCAATTAACTGATTAGTTTACCAAATGACAGAAAATGGTGAAAAGAAATGTTGATTGTGTTGCCTAAAGCCCAAGATGATATCCTAAAATGTCATGTTTTGTCCACAACCCAGAGATATTCAGTTTACTGTCACAGAGGAAAAAAGAAACAACATAATATTCAAATGTAAGTAGCTGGAATTAGAAAACAAAATGACTTAAAAAATGACTCAAACTGATTATTTGATGATCAAAATAGTTGGCGATTAATTAAATAGCTGTACTCTACTGAACATTTGCATTTAGATGATTGAGGAAGATTTAAATCCCTCAACCTCTATGCAAAAACTTAGATGCATCGAAAAGAAAATGTGAAAGCTGAGTTCTTAACCTCAAATGATTGTCAACCCTGTGAGAAATCATGCCAGACCCAGTATCACTGCACTCATGCTGGTCACCTACCACAAGAATAGAATGCAGGGTGTGTGAAAATCAATCCTTCTAACAAGTACTGTACGTGTACCCAAAGCCTGACTTAGCTTATTCCTCTGTGCCACAGAACTCCATTGTTGTCCAAAAGCTATTAAAACACAGCACTGAGCTGCAGTTTTGCTGGGTGGCATGTTTCTTCTTATAGAAAAAAACAAATGGCACTAGAGTTTACTTAGAAAAACAGCTCTGCAGACTAATAAGAGCAACTCTTTCACACTTTCTCTTTCCACAAACTACTTCCAAGACGTTTAAGTGTTTTCAATAGTTGTCGGACAACAACGGCACGGAGGAAAAAAGCTAAATTAGTCTTAG